CCCCCCCCCCGAACGAAATAGGTACCACAATAGAAACTGTTTTCAACATGACCGCCAGCCCACCCATTTATACCCCTTTGTTCCTTCAGGTTCTCGCATTCCGCCAATATTGACAATAAGGAAGGGGCGTGTGTAGTGAAGTGACAACCCGACCCTCTTCAGAACGGCAGCTCCCATCCTTCTTCAATGAAGCAATAGCAATAACCCATCCCCATGTCGTTGAATTGCTTTCGAGCTTTACTGATTGGAATTCAGCCTTTCCACCCGAGCGTCGAGTTTGCCTACCACAAAAAAACTTTTTATAGTCCGATCAAAGGAGGAGCGATCACAGTCCAGTTTCGGTGCTTACCATTACGCCTGATCGTAACAAGAGGAGTAATCAAACCCCAATTTCGAGAAATTGCTCATCGTTGTTGATAAGATTGTAATCCAAGACATAATCATGATCCCTTCGAACCGAAGTCGAGAATGATTTGGATTTGCAGCCTTCACCAAATGCCGGCAACGCTTGACCATTCTCTTTCACTCTGGAATGGTAGAACACATATAATCCAAAATACGAAAGAAGTAAAAATACAAACATATTACAAAAATATGTAAAATATTTGCAAAAATTAACCACGATTGCAATTCCAGACATTGGGAACAAAAGGAAATCGTGCGCGAAGAAGCAAAGCGGCTATCTTGGCAAGTAAATAGTAAAACATCGCAAGCGCCACAGCCTGTATTCTTGCAAGGTTTGCGTTTTTACCCAAGCGGGAAAGAGTTTATTAGCAAAGTAATTGTTCGAGCTAAGTTTCAGTCCCTCAACGGAACCAGCCAAAAAACTCAAAATTCTGGGAAAAATTCGCTGAAAACGAACCTTATCGACGGAGCTGATCCAGTGCCATCTGCCATTCCCTCAGTTCGCGACCACGAGTACTGAAAGAAATTTTCATAAGCGGTCTGAAAACCACGAAAATCCTCTGACTTACCCCGTTGGCTGTTACAGCTGACATCGCAGCCTGGTCATAGTCTTCATAGATGATCTCCTGCGGATGGTAAATCTCTTTCTCCTGCCCTTCGAAACATTTCTCGTAAGGGGAACATGCTGTGCAGATGTAATGCACGATAGGAGTTGTTCCAGCCGCTGTCAAGCTCACACATCGCGCTGAGTCTGTTATTCGTGATCCACAAGAGGGGCAGAATGCGAACAGTTTAAGAAGCTGACGTCCTTTTATTCGGAAAAATCGGTCGAGCAGCTTCGGGTCTGTCCCGTTGAGGGCGCAAACGTCCTGAGAGTCCAGTGATGAACCTGATAGATTTGCGAGCTGGAACGGTGAACTTGTGGAGTCCACCGTTGAAGCTGATGGATTGCCAATTTGTTGTGACGGATTTTCGAAGCTCACTGTCGAATATGATGGACTTGCGAGCTGGATCGGTTGATTTGCAGAGTCTACTGCTGAATATGATGGACTTGCGAGCTGAATCGATGGGCTTGCAGAGTCTACTGCTGAATCTGATGGACTTGCGAGCTGGATCGGCGGCTTTGCAAAGTCTTCTGCTGAATATGATGGATTTACGAGCTGGAATGAAGGATTCGTAAAGCAAGTCAAAAATCTCATACCATTTTCTAATTTTCTGTCCGGATCACCAAATAATTTCCGTAGTGCTTTACTTCCAACATCCACGAGTGAAGAAGACTCCGTATTCATGTATTCACGGCATTTTTCGATATCAGCGGCACTCATATTCTCCGCATCACTCTTAAAACATTAAAAATTCTATATGAAGTTCCATTCTGTAACAGTTGCAGTTAAAGGGTACGAACTTGAGGAATCTCTGGAGAAACCTTTTTAAAACGTTTAGTGAAGTCACGATAAAATGATAGTAGTTGGGCAGCTGTGATCTTGCAACTTGCCTGAACAGTTCAACATTATGAATCATAGAAAATCATTTCCTCAATATGTATTGGCTTCCTCAATCAATTTAATATCAATAATCAGTACAATGAGCCGCTACAATTAAAGAAAATGAAAGGACAGGGTAATGGATGCATATGGCTAAGGAATAAAACTGACACCTCTTTTTTAACATGTCTCTTGTAAGGACAAACTCGCTAATAAATGCCTTATCTCACTTAACATTCCTTAAAAATAGTGCATTTTCCTATCATCTTTACGGGAAACATATTTTGAAAAAAAAAACGATATGTGAGGTAATTCAAATTTAGTATACATAAACTCCTGATGAACAGATCTTCTCTTGATATAGTTGCTTGTTACCATGATGACATTAACTTTGTGTATCTTTTTCAAGGAAATTGTGTTAGTGTAAACTAATCAGTTATGTTTTCCTCATTTCTTCAACATTAATATTACTAAGCTAGTAAATAAAAAAGTCAAAACCTTTCTTATATGATGCATTTTCAGGTTTTAAGGATAGTAAAACAGAAAAATGTATAAGAAAGAAGAGAAATATGATGAGACTAGGCTTACATCAATGGCACGTCTATGCGGCTCCAAACGAGCAACAACTGCATTCATACGAGTATCAGTTGGCACAGATAGGAGTGTCTGCAAAGCATCGTGAAATATATCAGCCACAATATCAGCGAAGTGTGTAGCCTGAAATGAGGATTCTATCAGGAGTATTGCTTTTGAAAAACGAATGACTTACTGCTTCTTCATAGTGAATCTTGCAAATACGCTTGCGTACATCTTTACACTTATTATACATATCTTTTGCATACGGTAATTCCACTTCTTTCTTCTCCAGCATTGCACATAACATTATAAGAAGGTTTGTCTTGGATCGAGTCCGGTGAAACACTCCTTCTTGGCGATGACTGCCGCAGAGACGGCATATTTTCGTGAGCCCTGCAGAGTGTAGTTTCATTTGTTTGAAAGCTTTCTTTTGTTTGCTACGTTAGAAGTTGATAAAAGTGATCAGTGAAAAGTTCTTGTCAGTTATAAGGTTTACGTTTGTTCTTTTTCTTTTTATTCTTATTCTTTAGCGTCTGTTCCGCTCGTAGACGGGTCCGCTTTTCTGATATATTGACACCACTTCTCCTGATTAAACGTCTGTTCGGGGTGGATGTTAACCGCTTTCTGGTATCCGGGCAACGTATCGAAGTATCGCTGCTTTGGGGATCCTCTAGACCGCTTTACGGACACGTCAAGATTTTCGTACACTGTCATCATCCGCGCGACGAACATGACCATACGTCGAAGACTTGCTTCGCGCATTCTATCGACAATGGGCACTACACCGAATCGCTCCCTGATGACTCATTGCTTATGCGGTGTTGTCGTGTTACTCCGGCTGTCCAGCGCAGCATGTTGATCTCCATCACACGGAGACGGGCTTCAACTTGGTCTGCATCACACCGAGACAGCAGATTTGCTCGAGCTCGCTCTTGTCGTCGCTGGCGAGCATCATGACATCGGCATAAAGAGCGTTTAGGGTGCCGGTTTGTGGAGACCTCTTGTAATGACATTTATGACGACAACAAATAGTGGTGAGGATAATGCAGAGCCTTGGTGTACTCCCACGGGGATGGAAAAATCCTCCGATATGTCCGCTGGCACTTGGCTCTTTGGACTAGAGTAAAGGATGCGTACCTACTCGATGAGCTCTTCAGGAACGCCATGCTGTTCTTAGGCATGCCATAAAACGTTACGCGGAACGCTGCCGAAAGCCATCTCCAAGACTAGAAGGGAAAGAAGTACCGGTCTTTGCTTCTCGCGATGCTTTTCTAGTAGAAGACGAGTGGCGTGTCGATGGCGCTGCAACCAGTCACAAAACCATACTGGTTGGTGGTCAGCTCGACGATGTCACGGATACGACTGTCTTCAATTCGTTCAATGATTCTCATGCTGTCCGAAAGCAAGCGAATTGGACGGTAGCAAAAGCAGTCTCAAGGATTGTCCTTCTTCTTCCAGATAGGAATCGTCGTGCTTTGTGCCAGCTCTCAGGCACCTTCTTCTCTGTAACGACCTGGTTGAAGAATTCCGTCGACCACCCTGCCATTTGATTTCCACATGTCCGCCACCAAGTCGTCAGGACCAGTTGCTCGCCTTATTTCATCCTCTTCATAGCCGTAATGGCCTCCTGCATGGCTACCTTCTCAACGACAATGTGTACGGGAGAAACGGAAGGGATGGCGGGATGAGCAAATTTCACTGTCGGGATGTTTTCGAAGTACTCTCACCATCTTTTCAATTTTGCTTGCGGTCCGTCAAAAGGTGACCGTTCTCGTCATTCATGCCGAAGAGTTTTCTACATCCTTGGTCTGGCAAAAAGGGTCTTTGCGAGTCGGCAAACGCACCTCTCACCACGCGAGACTCGAGTTTCTCGTTAAGATCGGCATAATGAGCTGCCTTCGCAGAAATAACGGCCTCCTTCGCCTCTTCTTCGCTATTTGATAGCTCTCTCAGCTGTCTTCTCAAAAAGAAATGCGTGGTGCTGCTTTCCCTTATCTTCCTCTTTCTCCCTCGTACTCGTACATGGTCCGTGCACAGCCATCTTTGCTTGTCAAGTTTTCGCCATAAAGGCTTGGTCATGCCGAGCTCCGACCGCGCAACACGGGCCATTGCTTCGACAGCTCCCATAAGGTTTATGTTTGTTCTGCTTTTTAAAATTCAAAAAGTGAATAAAACTGGTCGACTGATCTAAAGATTAGAAAGCCGCCACAATCAGAGGAAACTGATCCTATAGAATTATCGAATACAACTTACCCATGAAATCGTAGAAAAAATTAGCAATGAATTGAAAAAGCCTTTGTTGCTAGAGATCGATCTGAAACGCCCGTAGTTTTTCGAGAGCTCGATTCTCCAATCCTAGAACACCAGTTGACGATGCGAAACTGTTGTCCTTGTTGCACCGCCGTAAGGACGGCTGCAAACTACAGTATTGGCAGTGGCAAATACTGCGGCGCACGAACCACGCGTGCGGTAATCAATACGACTGTATTAGTGGGAATGCACATATTTTAAGCATCACTACGATTTGTAATAGCAAATGCCATGGTAATAATTGTGAAAACATCACACAACAATTAGAGAACAGGGAAGCGTTTGAATTATTTTATTTCGATGTGAATAATAACATGACAAGAGAACCTTAATTTTGAACGTAAATAAGAATACCCAAAAAAACCTGTAATCATCGCACTAGCATTGAAAGAAGAGACTGTAAATGCTCTAAGATTATGTTGCGTCCAAGCGTGACGCTTTCCCATGACACCAGACCCCACTAAAGCTATTTATTTGTAAAGTTTTAGCACTGCATTCTTTGAAATATAGGGTCCGACAGGGCGATACTCCTAAACTTTTCACTATCGTTACGGAAAAACGTCGTTCACCTTCGCAGCCGACTCAAAAGGGCTATAGAGAGGTGAGGTTGCAACTACGCTCACAAGAGAAGTCAATATGATGAACAATTGCGTTCCACAGCTGAGCAGAAGGAAACAACATGAAAAGATCCAAGAAGGAGCTACCCCTCCTAAATTACTCCCAGAGACGTGGACTGGGGCAGGTTCAGCAGACATTCCAGGCGTTGTTGAGATATGGCAATGCTCCCAGTTTCCCGGTGCCGTCAATTGCAGATGAAAACGGGATTTTGAGCTTCGCCCATGAATGAAGATCAAGGACGCTGGCACACGCCATGGAACCAGGATCTCTGGGCTGTCGTGTATGGGTGACCGCCGGACCCGTCGGTTAGTGACTGAACCCCCTTGGCCGGGATATGAAATAAACGAGGTCAGATTTCTGTATGAAAGCACTAACAAAAGGAATGATTTGCTACATCCGCCGGACTGAACAGGCTAAATGAATACGTTGATCTTGCCCGCTTAAGCAAATCGGTAATCAACAGGTCAACAGGTAATTCAGATGATAGCTATCATTCTTTTTTTCGCAAGCTTCCGATCTTATTACGTCACATATAACCGTCAAAAGGTAGCAAAAGGGCACAAATAAGAACAGTAAGTAACAAAAAAAAATGAAAAAAATATACATAACGAACAACATTCACAACTCAGATCACTGGTACTTCAAAAAAAAAGCAGATAAATCAAGATGAACTCATCTTTACACGCTTTATACACGAGGTTCATTGTCATCTCATTTCCGAGTTCACTGCATTACTGAATGTCTGTGAAATTTGATCTTCTTTTTTCACCAATTTTTGGAGCATTTGTGCATTTTCGAGCTCCATCACCCTATCATTGAGCTTTTTCACAATATTCTGAAGCTCCGCCATCTGAAACCCATTTTTCAATGCAGCAGGAACATAAACTTGTTGCACGCTTTCATTAAAGCAGTACCTTACCTTGGATCAGTTTGAATAATAGAAAACCATTTCACATTTTAAAAAATGTAGAAAACTCGTCCACGAAACATAATTGCTTGAGAGTACTTACCCTTGAATGTAATTTTGCGCAGGATGAGCAGCCCAACAAGGATTCGGCTGGAAGACCAGGACTGCTATTGGCTTCAAGACTGTCAACGCTATGATCCAAAACATCTTCGGCGCCCGTGGAGGTTTCTAACAGCGATGATGCGGATATGGGCTCCACTTCATGGCTATCTTCTGCCAAAATTAAATCTGGATCTTGAATCTCTTCCTTCACGCTGTAAAAAGGAGATATTTATTCTTTCAAAATGTAGTTATTCAAAAATTCCCTTCTGTAATACTGTATATACATTTGTTTAAGATGTTCAGGTTTCTTTGAAGAAAGGTTTACCAGGAAAACATCGCAGTGTCGCTATTGTCATCACTTGGAAAAATCATGTTCTGAGTATCAGGTTGGCTAACTGAAGCCTCGTTCATCTCGTCCGAATCGACTGTTGCGCCAACAATATCGCCCTAGGCACCAAATTTCTGACTCCATAGATTTATTGTTTGGATTACAAAAAAAAAGTAGAACCGAAAAAATACAAACTTGATCGGAATCTGTTTTCCCCCAATACTCAAGAAACGCGTCCATTTTAAATCTACTAAAGTCGCGATGGAACGAAGCCAATTTATAGGATGTCAAAGGGATTCCAGGCTAAAATGTAGGATTTGACAACATGAATTGTTAAACAAAAATGACACTGAGCTTACATCAATTTCATCACGGTAGGGCTCAAAACGATCAACAATCTCTCTCATAACTCGAGCTGGCACCGTGAAGAGGTCCTGCAAATCCTCCACATCAAAGCCGCTGCATCTTTTAGAAACCATCTCGCCAATATAAAGAGCCTGTTATGATGATAATCTTTTTAGTTTGAATTATCACAGACGAAATCCATACACCTTACCGCTTCATGAAAATGACTTTTGCAGATGCGTTTACGCAAACGTACGCATCCTTCATACAAGGTTTGGGCAGCAGGCATGTTTATTGTTTTCTTCTCCAACAATGCACACAACATGACAAGCACAGTCCCTCTGGATTGACTACGGCGAAGATCGCTTTCCTCTCGGCGTCCACCACAGAAACGACATATAACCATTCTTTCTGCTAGGAAATATTACTAAATACTTCGCAATGGTCATGAAGAACGGTTTCGCGGTCATGCTCGGCAAAGAGGAAGAAACATAGGTCAAGTCTGTCAGAAAAGCAAGCTCGGTACGAGAACTCCACAACTGCGGGTTCTGGATCGTAATGTACTACTATACCCCGACTTGGCCTAAAGTCCCTTTTCGTTACATCGTGTACATCGCGAATGGGTTCAGGTTCAAGACTGTGCATTCAAAGAAAGGGTATACTATCAAAGGGATTACGTTGCCTGTGAAATTCTTCGTCCAGCGCATTTATTTAATTGTAGAGTCAGCGTGAGGACCGAGTTTTCGTACCTAACTTTCGTCTCTGAATAGGGGCATGGGCATTCAATCAGAGCTGAACCGGAGTCGTTTTAANGGCAAACCGCGCAGCGGAAATCGTGGTTAAAACGACTCCAGGCCCTATCATTGGGGCACAAATTTGAAGTGGGGTAGAGAAGTAGCATCAGCTGGCCCCACCTATCCAATGACCTGCCCCAATGAAGTCGTTTTAATCACCACGAATTTCGCCGCGGCGTTTGCCGCATCCATCCAGTTCTGGGTGAATGTTCCGTCCCCCTCAACAGTAAAAGGAAAGCAGAACGGTGTGCAAGTGAAATCGAGAGCGCGCGCAAGTCGAACATACATTTGTATGTACCAGAAGGCTCCCTTGACCGATTTCGCACCTCCATGCTTCATGATTCGATAAGATTTTGAGCTGATATCGGATTTGATGATCCCGCCTTCAAACGATAAGATGGATTTTCAAGAATATTCAAGGGCTGTCCATGCTAATATTGAATTATCACATAAGGGAAAATTACATGAATTAAAACTTGGAAAAGTACCGATAAGCTCAACACGGTTCCTTGTACAATCGTACGATACTCAGTGGCGATATAACGCAAAACCCACACAACGAATACTTTTGATATTCTGAATAATTTACTCTGAATATAATCATCACAGAACGGTAAAGAATGATAGCACCGGGCTAACAAAAACGTTTGAAACAAGAATCGCTGAGCTAACACTATCCTTTGTCTTATAACAGCTTTTTCAACAATGAGAGGAATAAATGATCCTTATGGTCGATTAATAGTAATTGATACGCTGCATACAGCTAATGACTCGTTGCCACATTGTATTAGACTAGGAACCCGCTACATCCAGACTGGAACTTCGTATAGAAAAGTTAACGCCAAAGGAATTCTGAAGTGACAACATGCACTCTTTTAGTGAGTTCACTTTGAAGAAATTGCCGAATGCACATATCAGAAATCTATTTGAACTAAAAGAATTGCATCACAATAAAGTGAACAAGGGAGGTGAAAATAATGTATACCACTCTGCGAATTTTTACATCTCAAGAGAAACCAAGTAGGAGGCTGGATGATGCCGACTAGCTCAGCTCATTTCTTGCTTCACTAAGCTGTCGCTGTCAACTTTGATCACACGATCGTATAAATGAGCACCTTCAAGCTCTAGTACCTTACTGTTCAGCTTCTTTACGATTGCTTCAAGCTCGGCTACCTGAAATTTACTGTGTAGTGAAACTAAGGTAAAATCCAATCGTAAACATGCTGAATTGGTTTTTGGAGGATAAGGTAAGGAAAGGAGGTGGTACAAGCAAGTGACGCCCTGTTACACGCGCATGGTCACGAGTTCGAATCCCTGACCGGTATCTGTCTAAGCAAACCATGCCTTCTATCTCTCCAGCATTCGTCAATTGGCAACAAGCTCGTTTGTTAGTATAAAAAAGCCTTGACTTGCATATCAGCCGGCCACCGTAAGTCACTGTTGAGCGACATAGACATTCAATACTCCACTACGAATCTGAATTGAAGACGAATGCATGGCGCATCCCTCAGACAGACCTGATTAACGTCAAAAGACTAGACTTTCTGAAGGTGAGGTAAAAAGTAGAAAGTCGCCTACTGTTTTCTTTAGGAAATGGCTCAATAGCCATTAGAAAGAGAAACATTCATAGTCTACCTACCCTTTCAGTTAATTTCGCACAAGATGCGCAGCCAGGAAGCGATTCGGCTGGGATATCCGATTCTGATGAGCGGTCGTTGATCGCTTCATCGCCTATATCATCACATGCGGAACCTTCACTGCTGTCAGAGGGTGCTTGCAGCAGCGCCGAGGCGGAGATTGGCTCAGAGAACTCCCTTATACTAAACATTCACTTTGAACCAAAACAAAACAAAAAAAAANAAAAAAAAATAGATATAGGTGATTTAGTTTCGCCACCTGTAAATGAAATGCAAAGCATGACTATGAGATCTGAGAGCGTTGAACGGTGAAAGCGTGATTATAGTAAGCTTCACCTTTAAACAATAAACTTCGCAGAAAAACAATTTTATCAAAGCAAACCTTTCATCCGAGGTACCAACAATTTCCTCCAGTCTTCGCTGACTCGAAGCGAGATTCGACAAAATCTTCTTGATATCATTTGTAGTCAAATAATGAAGTTTCGTTCTCGGGTCAGTGAATTCTCGTCGTATCACCTCTCTTACGACTTCCGCATCGAATCCCTGCCGCAAATAATTCGCAATGACAGCTTTATCACTATTCGAGAGAGGCAGATTAGCAGGGCTGACGTCATGATTGACATGTCCCAAGCAGTATTTAACGGTAACTGTACCATCATGAGCGTACATTTCCTAAAAAAAGAAGCATTTTGCTTACTCCCATGTGGGCCAAAAAAATTATGGCTACCTTCAGGAATGAGGTGCAATAGTTCACGATCGCCACGGTTGGTGATTTCCTCGGTTCTGATCGCCAACGATACCGTTTTTTGAAGACTCTAAAAGCCATAGTCTGATGTTAACGTGCCACTCAGCTTGAAAAGTTTGAGGTTATTCAGAAATACCCATAATTGTGTAATGCATAAAGCCTTAATTACATTCAAATGAAAAAAAGAGCGATTCGACGAATTATTCAATCGAATTGATAAACAACAACAACAAAAAGTATCATGAAATTCAATCCGACCTGCTGCATCGATAATATGCAACTTGGAGATTTCCATTCACATTCGATCTGCCATTTATTAGCCAAGCAGTGCAGTGGGTTTTTGCGACAGATTCCTTCCACATCTGCAAGTTATAGTTGAATTTGTATGGACAATTTCAGTGATCTTATAGCCTCACAAAATAGACGAAACACAGGAAATTTCAGGAAAAGATTGAAATTTTATCTGAAGTTTTGAATGTGAAGTCATTACAATGAAGTCTCGAAAAAAAAAGGAGGGGNGGGGGGGGGAGGGGAAGAGCGAGACGAGAAAGAGGGAATGAGCTATGGGAACCCAGATTCTTTTTTTAGTGGTTCTTTCCCGGTTCCCGGTGATTCTGAAAAAATCAGAAATCCTGCTAGTATTTGTTCATCATGATATTAACATTCCCAAACAAGATGCAAACTCGGAATGATGCCACGACGTTCGTCTAAACAGCTGGTAGCGAAAGAGGAGAAATGCTAAGAGTCGCATTAATCAAGCTTCGGGATTTTTAAAGAAAAAGGTCTGGACCGAACACAAATGCTTGGTAGAGCCAAAACTTAGGGGTGTTCAAGTTTCGCCCATGGATATTGTTGCGGTGCAGAGAATTCGAGCAAGCAGGTAGATAACACTTTCAGTTTGTCAGCTTCGCCACCTTATCCTAGGCATGACCACTCCTCTAACAAATTTAGTAAATGATAACTGAAGTATGTATGGTTCGAGCTGGGTATTTTTACACATGAACAGCGTAATTGCCAATTCAAACAGGAGCTCAACTGGTTAAACTGAGGCACTAACCATCCTGGGGGTGCAAAAGCGGAGTTGATAAAAAAAAACTCGGAAGATAAGTGTTTATGAGAACCAAAGGTAGCTCACCTCGCATTCGTACGCATCCTTGAATGTACGTGCTTGTATGACGCAGTCCTTGACTTCGTGAACAACACGGCAATGCTCAACCAAATCTTCTTGAGCGTTAAGCGACTTGGCACAAAGAGGACAATTCATATGGCGATACTTCCTCTCGTCCATCAAGAAATGTGTTTTCCGCATGTGAACTTTATAATCGTATTCGCTTTTGGCGATATATCCACAATGTCTCACTTCACATTTGACTTTCTTTTCTTTGGCAAGCAACATTTTTTCTGCTTCTTCAATGCCATCTTCACCATGAAGTGTTTGTAAATGATCCAGTAAAGTATTTTGATCCATCCACCGCTCACAGAAACGACATTGGCGTATTTTAATTTGAGGGCGTGGTGGCTTTCTCATTCGAGGATTCTTTGCGATTGCCGCAGATGAGATCCGTAATTCTTTATTCTCCTAGAAAAAAAAAGAAAAATACATGCCAACTCATACAAGAGGCCCATATTTGCTGATGCCCATTGATGATAGAAAATGCAAAAAAAAAGCTGGTCAAGAGTTATTTCAAGGCAGATTTCTGAATAAAATGAAAAAAATACTAAGAATAAATCAAAACTGAAAATAAAATAGTAATAAAAACAAATTTGACAAGCTCATTAAAATTGTAAAACGCCCTGTTATTCATGAAATTAAACAACCTAATCACATCCTTCAAATTTTCGAGTTATCCTAAAGTTGATCTTTTGTTTCAAGAAAAAAATCAGGAAATATTTTACATACGCATCAACCAAGGAAATTTTCCTCAGCAGTAAAAAAAACAGATTAATCTTATTTTCATCTCAATTGACTTGTTCAAAAGCTGCTATTAAGATAACCGAGCCCGCGAATCAAAACTTTTTGTTCTAGCGACAATTATTTCTTCACCCCACCAGAAGGAGGGAGTCTAAGAAAGGAAAAGAATAAGAACCTTTACGAGTTCCATTGGATTAGTTTCAGTTTTCATGATTTTGTTGCAGCGAAGATCTGAAAAGATAAAGTTCCATAGGATAAGTGAAGCAATGTAGTTCACGCCAAAAGTATTAAAAGCGACAAAAAATTACATCCAGAACAACGGCACTACTGCCTAAAATGTGTTGAGCTGGTGAAAAGGTAGTGAAGGGGGGCCAGCGCCCCTTTGAAACACTGGCGACTAGAGCGCAGAGAAGGAAGTGTAGCCGAGCCCGTAATGGTGTTTAGGGAACGTTTCAAACTTTATTATGTTATAGCTGTGTGTATTCTTCACCTAATTTTAGGAAGGGAAGGAGCTCTGAGGTGGGTGAGCCAATTGGACGTTAAATTTTTATCTCATCTCAGCTTTTTGCACAAGATAATCATTTCATTCACCCAGAGCCCCTCCCCTTCTTGAATTGGTTAAAAACAATATTCTTTTGGCTAAGAAACATCTTTATGAACAAGTGGAGTTGGCTACCCCTCCTCCTCTGCACTCTAGCCGTTAGTGATTCAAATAGCCTCCCAAGTCGTTATTAATATTGGAGGGCTACTGGGCTCAACTGGGTGTTAAGTGGGTTAGGGAGGGGGGGGGGCCACGCGGCGGCGCGGCGCCTTTTCATGTCTGTGCCCTCTCCGGCGAGATAGTAGACAAGGAAGGGTAGGCGAGCCCGTAATGGTGTTTAGGGACGTTTCATAGCTTTTTTATGTTATAACTGCGTATTTTTAACCTGATTTCAGGAAGGGGAGGGGCTACGAGGTGGGTGAGCATATTAGGCGTTTAATTTTTATCTCATCTCAGCTTTTTGCACGAGATAACCATCTCACCCACCCCGGATCCCCTTCCCTTCTTAGAAAAATAGGTTTTATCGGCTCAGAAGAAGACTATGCATAATATGCAAGCGGTGAAAATGTAGTTGGGGGGGGGGCACCTATCACAATGTCGGTATATCATGAAATGAACTCAATGAAACGCGCTATGTCATGTTATATCACGGACATGCCAGTTTTTAAATAAGGGCTCTCGTAGGGAAGGAACACCGCGGTGGGCAAGTTTTCTTAATTTTTTTCCTTTTTTTTTTGCAGGAGGTAATCATCCTAGCCACCTAGGTGCTCCTACCTTACCTAGGCTTATTTAGTAAACTAAATTTCCTTGGCGGAAACCGCATAAAAGAGCTAAGCTGGTCGATTCCCATCATCCTCTACGCATTCGATACAGTGCTGATATAACAAGGGCTAACACGTTAGACTGAGTTAATTTCTTGATATACTGACCTTCGGATGGGTGAACTACATTTTCACCTATGCAAGCATCTCAACATGCGCCAAGAGTTAGTTTGTTCTGAATCACGAAACACATCAGTGCAACCTCACCATTTCTTCTCAGACTCGGGCCCATTACTATCTCGCTGGAGAGAGCACAGGGT